AAAATTGCTTTATTGGCCCGCTATGTTGTTTCGACTATGCCTATTCCATAAGCCAGCGCTCTATAATAGCTAGTCAAACATAACACAGATAACGTATTTGAAGAATTCAAAATATTTCACACAAAACAACAACCATAAGAGCAAGAAAGGGCTAGTAAACAAAATTTCAACGGAAATGGGTAAAATACGTAACAGTACGTGTCAATGATCCTATCGAATGAAAACACTGATTGAAGCGAGAAGGGCTAATAATCGTGAAGCAGAACAACGCTGTTGCCCAATCAGGCAAAGTGTGCAAGTTTTTATTGCATCTCTTGAATGAACACTCTTCCCGATAGGGAGATAATTCTATTGTAAAAGCGCACCCAATCTTCGACAGGGAGATTGATAAATTCCACCCCAGGTGTGCACACTAGAAACTCCCAAACTTAGAAAAGCCAAAAATTGTTCTCCGTCCTTGGCGTCGTGATCGCGCACTCTGCCCTTATTTAAAATATACAAAATCAGTGCAAAAGTGGAAATCATGTTAATGAGTTGTCCAGATCTTCCTGTTGATCGACTAGACAAACCATTGTAATAGACGGTTTTGGTGTTTGTGGTTTTGTAATCTTCAAGTCGATAACGTAAAAGTTTGTTATCTTGCATTTTATCCAGAATATTATCCCTGAAAACTTCTAACGGAGAGAAGCATTTTATTCGTGAAAGTTATATAATTTGATCCCTCGATTCTCCATCTTACTAAAGTCGATTTTCGTACCATTCCCACATTATCATAGCATAGTCGCGTACAAAACGTACCCTTGTGCACCTCAAAACTGGTCATCTGTGTTTTCAGTGCTGCATACCTTGAGATTTTACTCATTTACAATTTTAAATGTTTTGAAGTTGCAGGTTGTCCACCCAGTCAGTGGGGATGCCCTTCCTGTTAACACTGAAGGTCAAATCTGTCTACGAAGTCCCACCGTGATGCAAGGATATTTGAGCGGCGCCCAAGTTAGTTCGAACGTTGTCGACGCTGACGGCTGGTTCCATACTGGTGAATACTAGAACTGAATCATCATTCTGCCCTATTTATTGCAACATTTGCAGGGGATATTGGAATGATGGATCATGTAGGACAAACAGTTATTGTTGATCGACAGAACTCATCACAAGTAAACGCAAGTATGTGGAAGGAAAACACGGCTGAGCAGATCATGCCATTTTGATTATGAATGTAAATATCATTATGAATGTAAATATCGTCGATAGTTTGTCTTTTGTACTTGTGGAGTTACTTTTCTGACGGGCTTTGTTCTTTATCAGGTACATAAAGTTCAATTCGAGCAGAACATGCTGTGCTTGGTTTGCACTTTTTTAATGCAGATTCATGGCCATTATTGCTCTAGGAACTTACATTTGGTGCGAAGCTAGGTAAGTTCCTAATGTAGATGGACATAAAGTACAAAAATATTTCAAGCGTATTGGAAATAGCACTTGTAAACATGTTTTGACATCCTGTATTCTCACACCATTTCCCGTTGAACTACAATACAAATAGAAAATGTGAATTTTTGCCGACTTGTCACTCAGCGTATTGATTTTTGCCAGCTTAGAGCGAAGTAAAACTCGCGTAGACGAAGATACTTGAGCGTAAAGGGAATGGCTAATCAATGGAAAGCAGAAAACGAGAAACGCTGGCAATGAGGACCACACCTACTAACGCATCCACGGTACCCTGTCGCTTTCTAAAATGACGTCAAATTCATAACAACACAAACATGACTGTTTTATTATCGTATGGGTAAAAGGATGGACAGTACGTCATGTAAATGTCCGGCAGCTCAAACTTGGGAAAATGAATGCAACATCTTGCACAGCTGTACAATTTTCGCATTTCACCTCACGAAACCATATTTCGCAATAAGACCGCCAATAATCTTTGAGTAATAAAACAAAAAACACAATCATGACGATTATTGCGAAATGGCCAAAGGGCGTGGCCACAAAGGTGAATGGACAGGTAGGACTTCTGACAAATGAAATCGTTGACTTATCGCTTCGCGTCAATATATGACAATCTGCATAAGACATAAGCGACTTCAATGCTGAGCATATAAAAAAGCCGGACTTTTTAAAAACTGCCGTATCTAGTTGAGTATGATTGCCTATTTAGTATCTTAAAATAGGCCTACTTCTATGTGTATATCTGAGTAGGAGGAAAGAGCTTGCAGCTTTGTTGCTTTTTTATTAATTTTCGCCAACACTATACCGAATTTCCGACCCTTCAAGTCTAAAAACCTGCGGGGTTGCAAAACGCCTTTTTCTTCTCTCTTCACCCTTTTTTCTCTATCGAATAGAATAAATTTGGTTTGCCTAGCTCTGTCGTATATGAGTGGTATTTATTTAAAGAAAAGAATTCAGATTGTCAGGGCATTACAAGCATGGGGAAGGATTAATGCCAATAAGTCGCAGCCCCCTTCCTTATCACCGGTGAGCAGACTGCCCTTTTGAAGAAGTGAGAGGAGAATGCCTGCCCATAACTGCACGAGAACAAGCCGCCTAGGACGGAGATTTGACAGGAAAGGGGCGAGCTTTGAATTTCGCAATGTGTAAATATGTCGCAGTCGCCTAATAGCGTTTGGCAGGAAGAAAGCACGCCTAGAGTGTTTTGAAGTGGAAAGTGCCTACGCATACTCAGACTGTCAACAGACTGAACTTGGATTTATTAGATTGATCGTTGGAGTAAGAAGTTGACGAGAAATATAGCGTACTTTGGATGGATTCAAAAGCAAACAAAAATAGCAAAGTTTCCAAACATTGCCCGAAATGTTTTTTTTTGAATGTTACAAGAAAACGCAGGTTTTTAAAGCTCTTCGCGAATAAAGCAAAAATTCGAGTTTCTAGAAGTCCTACAACTCACGTGAACATGCAATAAAACCTTTGTTATACTCGGTGAGAATGATGATTGAGTAGTCTATAAAAAGCATATCGTATTTAGACGTTCGTTTTATGCATGTTTTCATGTAGTACGTTGAAATATTTTGTTTCTAAACTGAGGTGGGCCAAAATTTCCATCCGTATACTTTGGCTCAGGAGAAAAAAGTAAAATAGCCTAGTCCATCATCGTTCATCCAATATTCATTGGTTTTGTTAGTTTACTGACTTCTGCGCTTTTACCTTCGGCTGCTGATTGATGGCCAGTAGAGAAAATTTCTGCATCTTTTTATTACCCCACTTTTTACGCTCTGGTACTGGAAATTTACAATGTGCACATTCTTCCCAGGTCAAACGCTGCGAACGCATTGTCTGTGACGGCCACTCAACTTTCTATATTTGATATCAAGCGAAATTTTTCTCTTCAGAAGGACATTTGCCACGACTAGGTTATTTTT